TCATATAGAGTTCGTTAAATGTCAAAATCCTTCTTTCCAAAGGATGCTCTTTTAACATAACTTCTTTTAGCTAACGATTTATTAGTGGTTATTACATGTCAGGATTTTACATGTATTATTGAATTCTCCCAATAGCTGGGAGAATGATTTTGCCACAATGATTATTCCTATTTTCACAGATAAGGAAAGCCACAGGGAAGTTGAGTAAATTCCTAAGATCACCCATCAATGAGAGAGTAATGCTGATTCAAACCCAAGACTTTCTGGTCTCAAGCCTATACACTTGAACACCACTCACACCGTTTCCTCAAACTGATATTCAGTCAGGTTGAGGATTCTGGTAAGGGAGAAACAACCGATATTTCTTGAATATCAGATGGATACCAGCCACTGTGCCTGGCACTTTATAGGACTTTCTCCTCAAACCTCTGTAACCCTACATGATGATTATTACCAACATGCCACCTGCCTGACCCAACAAGTTGAGAAAAGAGGAGTTAAGTAATATGCCCAAAGTCACAAATCCTAGGCAGTGACAAAGCCAGCCTTCAAATCTATGTCTGCTTGACTCCAACATAATACAATACTCAAGAGGCCATAGCAATCTGCTTCCCACAGCAAACAGAGACGTTGCCTTGTTATGTTTCCTTTGGGTTTTGCTAGGCAAGGTATACTTTGTTTGTCCTTATAGATCAAATCTCTTCCATCTTAATTTTAAAATGACACATAATTTAGTAGATTATTTTAAATTACAGTGTTCTCTAACCAAAAATACAGATAATAACAAAGGTTGGCAAAAGTGTGCAGAAATTGGAACCCTCCTACACTGCCGGTGGGAATGCAAAACAGTGCAATTGCTTTTGAAGACCATGTGGCCATTTCTTTAAAGATTAAACCTAGAGTTACCATTTGACCTAGCAACCCCATGCCTAGCTACACACCCAAGATAACTGGAAATCTATGTCTGTAAAAAAACCTTATGTGAATATGCACAGCAGCGCTGTTCATAATAATCAAAGACTGGAAACAGCATGGGGCTCCTGGGTGGCTCAGTTGGTTAATTGGCCAACTCTTGATTTCTGTTCAGGTCATGATCTCAGGGTCCTGGGATGGAGCCCTGCATCAGGCTCCCTGCTCAGTGGAGAGTCTACTTTAGGATTCTCTCTCTCCCTTTCCCTCTGCCCTTCCCCCTACTCATGCACACTCTCTTTCTCTAAAGATATATATATATATATATATATATATTATATATATATATATATTTTTTTTTTTTTAAGTAGAAACAGCCCAAATGTTCACCAACTGAAGAATGGATAAACAAAATGTGGTCTAGCCACTGATGAGACATTATTCATCAGTAAGAAAGAAAGAAATATCGATATGTGGTATCACATGGATGAACCCTAAAAACACTCTGCTTAGTGAAAGAAGCCAGTCACAAAAGACAACATAGTGTATGGTTCCATTTATGTGAAATACCCAGAATAGGGAAATCCAGAGAAACAGAAAGTAGGTCAGGGATTGCTGGGAAATGGAGATTATAGCTAACAAGTACAAGTTGCTTTTGGGGGTGACAAAAATGTTTTGCAATTGATTGTGGCAATGATGGCACAACTTTATAAATATACTACAAACCATTGAATTGCACACTTGACATGGTGAATTATATGGTGTGTGAATGATATCTTGGTAAAGCTGTTATACATTTATATTTGAAAACTGTTCCAGGGCACCTGGGTGGCTCAATCAGTTAAGTATCCAACTCTTAATTTCAGCTCAGGTTGTGATCTCAGGGTCATGAGATCAAGCCCCATGTCGGGCCCATGCTGGGCATGGAGACTGCTTAAGATTCTCTCCCTCAGCCCCTGACCCCCTTTCTCCCTCTCAAAAAGCAAAAAAAAAAAAAAATAAAACAAACAAAACTCCATGACAAAAACCAATTACACATTTGGCATGCTCTTCAGAAATATCTGTTGAGGGACACCTGGGTAGCTCAGTGGTTGAGCTTCTGCCTTTGGCTCAGGTTGTGATCCCGGGATCCTGGGATTGAGTACTGCACCAGGCTCCTCACAGGGAGCCCGCTTCTCCTTCTGCCTATGTCTCTGCCTCTCTCTGTGTCTTTCATGAATAAATAAATACAAATCTTTAAAAAAGAAATATCTATTGAATGAAGTCCCAAAGTACTTTATGGCTATTTAAAAATAATACATGTTCATTTAAATTCAAATATATCTTTCAGGAGTAGATGGTGCTTGCTTTGCAATAGTATCACATGAAATGTGCCCAGACTCAACCATCCCTGGAACAGAATGCTGATGACTACTGACTTCATAGGAGTGCTGAGACGTGGGCCTCGGTGGTGGAAGTTTACCAGCAGCCCCACGATGCAGGAACTCCCTACTCTGCACTGATAGGGCCAATGGTGGTACAAAAACCATCCATGACTCGCTGACAATGTGGATGCCACTGAATGTCAACTGTCTCCCCAAACCCTCAGTGAGCCAAACTGAGTGTATGGAAAAGTTCTGGGGTGACTCAGGACCACCAGCTAATAAACTGTCACTTGGGTCCTGAATCTGGGAAGATGAATGACAACCTTCCTTTCTTTCTAGAGAAGCTCCCCAGAACAGCTTCTGGCAGCATTTACTATTTATGGCCACATTGGAGCTAATACAAAAGAATATGGAAAGAAAAAAATAATAATAAGTTCCAGAGTAAAAATGGAAACCAATATTCAGGGTTGCAGGGGAGTGGACATGGAATAAATAGATGTCTGAACTTGAGATCTAGCTGAGGAATTAGCCTGATGTGAACTGTTAAAAGAGCCAAGAAAAAGGGACACAAATGGTGAATGCTTTGGGGAAGAAACAAGGTAAGGTATTAGTGGATTTAACAGCAAAACAAATTAGCTCAACAGACAAGCAGACAAGCTTCTTTTGAGCAAATAAAGTCCAGAACCTAGCATCGACTAGATAATCTTTTCAGGGAATGGTTTTCAAGCCTTCCCCACCAGGGAACAAAAACCTCCCAAGAATAATTTAGAAAGCACATATTTTATGAGCCTTGGATTTGCAAAATGTTTGTTCTGCGGTTCCTTTGCAAAATGGAAGTAGGAATATGGGACACAATTGGAAAAGATTCATCTAAGGCCCTGAGGCTCTAAGATGCCATGTGCTGAGCTCCCGACTTCATATCTCCAGAGATTCACTAGTGTAATTTTGGAAAGGATTCAATCTCATCTACAAAAAAAAAAAAAAAAAAAAAAAAAAATCCTCATGTGAAACAAAACACAACTACCAAAAACGTAGTGTATACTCTCTGTGTAAAGGATAGCTGGGCTTTTGTGTCTTTTATTTCATTGCCTTTCTAAAACAGTTCTGTGAAAAAAATAAAAAATAAAAATAAATAAAACAGTTCTGTGAGATTTTTACAAACAAGGAAGAAATCAGGCAACTTTCCTGAAGTCATATAACTGGCAAGTGGGACAGGGAGAGGATTTGATTCTGGGTCTTCAAAAATTTTTTTGACTTTGAAAAAAATTATTTATTTGAGAGAGAGAAAGCATGAGCAGGGGGAGGGGGAGAGGCAGAGGGAGAAGCAGACTCTCTGCTGAGCAGGGAGCCCAATATGGGCCTTGATCCCAGGACCCCAAGATCATGACCTGAGCGGAAGGCAGACCCTTCACTGACTGAGCTACCCAGACACCCTTGCATCTTTAAACTTCTTAACCACTCTTATCTCCAGTACCCCACATCTTCCCAAAGTAAAACAGTAATCAATTTGTCCAGCCATAGAAGGCCTTCTAGAATGAAAGAGTAATGACATTTTGACAGAGATTCCAGATCACCATGAAACTCAACAGACAAGGAGAATACTAAGAAAATAATAGGGCTTCAGGCTTTGGAACATCTGGAAGTCAGGGACCCTAGAATAAGGACAGTGTGTGAAATATTAGTCAAAATAAAAATATCAGTAACTACCACTATATCTAGTCTACCAAACCCTATAGCTTATGATTTATTTTGTTGTCTGTTCTTGGTGAAGAATGTGTATGAAGATAAGAATTTGGGTATTTTAGAATGGAACTTTTCTTAATATTACTCAGTGTCTTATTTGAACTATAACTGTTGAATTGTGCTCCTAGAGTGGTCAATTTTTGCCATAGTCAATAAATATACAAAATCAAAAATATAAATGAATGTAATAGGTTCCAACCTCTCTTGCACAATTCACAAAGATGAGACTGTGATAGAAGTTGTTAAATTTGTAACTTACCTTTTGTAATAATTCTCAACCATAAATCTTCCTTTTGGGTTTTGTGGGACAAATTTTCTAACTGTTTTTTCCCCCATAACCCATCTGGTTAAGCTCCTATCATTCTCTTTTTTTTTTTAATTTTTTTTTTATTTATTTATGACAGTCACAGAGAGAGAGAGAGAGAGAGAGAGGCAGAGACACAGGCAGAGGGAGAAGCAGGCTCCATGCACCGGGAGCCCGACGTGGGATTTGATCCCGGGTCTCCAGGATCGCGCCCTGGGCCAAAGGCAAGCGCCAAACCACTGCGCCACCCAGGGATCCCAGCTCCTATCATTCTCAATGACATAAGGTAAGAAAAGGCGAAACATGCCTGCACCTGAGGGGGGTGCCAAGGAAAAGGGATATTTTGCCCTTGGAACCTTTTCTGAATCTGTAATGACCACCATACAGAGGGCCTGCAGGTTGCAAACATTTCAGAAGGAAATACTGGTTTATATGTAGTATTGGCCTGTCAGTTACAAGTATAAAGAATGCTGGACAGTCAGGGCCCTGTGTTCAAATGCATCCTCTACCATTAGTTAACTAGGTAGGCAACCTTCACCAAGGGCTTTCTTCTCTCCTGGCTGCTGGGCTCTCATCTGTAGGATGAAGCCCTCAGAGTAGATCATCCCTAAAGACCTCTCCAACTGCTGGATACTTCAGCCCCTGGCTTTGCCTGTTCTGGTGATTTCCTTGCCAAGTACCTGTTTCTTGGTCACTGTGCCATCCACAGGGTCCACATACTCAAAGCAGTCTGTCTTTGCCACACTGTAGACATGGTTTCCCACGGCGAACTGCTGGCCGATGAAGGACTTGTCTGTAACCAGGGCCTCCAGGTCCCTCATGATGTAATATGTTGTCTTGGGCTCTAGTCCCTCGTAGTCAAACCTGGGGAGGGAAGGCAAGACACAGGGTGAAGACAAACCTAATCAGAGAGCCAGTAACTGGGTGGCCCCCTCAAGATCATCGAATCATCAGTTTGGTTTTCATGGAAGAACTGCACAGAAAAGCACTGGTCCCTACTCTCTCCTACCTGGCCCATATAAGCCAGGTCCTGCACAGGAGCCAGAGTGAACTTGTAAAAATCATATCAAATCATATACTTTCTTTTAAATCCCTCCCCAAGGGCCCATCACATTGAGAACAAGACTCTAGACCCCAGGTCATAAGGCACCATGAGATCCGGCCTCACCCACCCCCTCAACTTTGTCCCACTCTCACCCTTATTCTCTATGCTCCAGCCACATGGGCCTTCTGTCCAGTCCTCAAAGACAGTTTGCCCTGTCCTGCCTTTGAGCCTTTGCCATTGCTGTCTCTGCCCTCAACCTGGGATATTCTTCCCTCTGACTACTCAAATACCTGGCAGTCTCTTCCATCACCTTTCAAACTTAGTGTCACCTCCAGAAAGTGCTCTTCTCTGACCATCCATTCAAGATACTTCCCTCTGTCTGCCCCTCTCTCACACCACTCTTAATAGTTTGTGTATTTGTTTACTTATTTCTTATCTGCCTTTGTCCACAAGAACCATGAGCTCCAGGAGGGAAGAGACCTTATCTGTTTTGTTCTCTGCTGCTTCTAGTAAGTGATTTATAAGCAGAGGGATGAAAGATGGGAGGAAGGAAGGAGAGAGAGGAATCAAGGGAGGTGAAGAGAGAAGGAGGAAGGGAACTCAATGTATCATAAATCTCTCTTGGAAACTTGGAAGAAATACCACAATTGTTCCATTTTAAAAAGGTCCTTCCAGCCAAGATCATCAAATGTAACAATGGGGCTGGGAGGTGATTAGAAAAAAAAAGTCTAAAAATAACACCTATCTCATTTGTTGTTGTACCATAATGCATATCAAGTAGTCAGTCCAGTTCCAGACACCATTGGTTAAACCTATTAATTGATTTTATTCTTAGTCACAACCACAAAGAAATTGTAGAGTCTTTCCCAATGTCAGAGAGTCTTGACCAAGACCTAATAGCACACTTGGGCAGGGTGGGGTGCTCCTCGAGAAGGAAGTCCTCAAGGGGTATCTGTGCCCAAATGGCTACAGTGGGATCTCACACTGGGCTCCATGTAACCCAAGGACAGGATGTGAGTTCCCAGCAAACTGGAAGAAGGAAGACTTGCATCATTGTTACTATTTTCTCTTCACCCAAGATCTCTTAAGACTTTTAGTAAACATCAGGGTGTTAGCCAAAATGGGAAACATGGAATGATGCCATTTCTAGCAGTGGGTCCCCTGTCTCTGTATCTCTGTATCTTTTATCCTCTCCCTCCTATCCAGATGTGCCCTCTTCAGCCTCAGGAACAAAATAACCAAGAATTCTCTCAGAACATTCTCCGCAGTGGATGTGTTCTGAGCCTAAATTCTCTTTAACACTAGTCTTTTGGGGGAAGATAAAGACCCAACCAAGCCAAGAGGGGCAGGAGGCTAGGATAAGAGAATTTATTAGGATACAGAGAGGCCCTGAAAGAGAATCAGAAGTTGAGGAAATCCACTAACGTGACAGATCACATTTGGTCTCTGGCTGATGGTCATCAGACCAGCCTGCCCAAATGCTCATCTTCATGAGCAGACTCGGCATTTCTACCCTTTCCTACCACGAACCACATCCCCTGACCCACCACCACAATACACTTTCAAGAAATCTTTCAATGGAGAGTTCCTTATGGGGTCCACTCATACAAGGAAAATCATCTGGGTTCCCAGCTATGACTTTAGGCTCAGAAATAGTTAAACCAAAACTGTTTTATTATCTCTTCCTCCCCACACCCAAAAAAACTGGATAGGAGGCATTTTATTTCACAAGGATCTCTCAACTTGTATCTGCTGGAGACTGAAAAAAAGTATTTACCTTTCATTCTACCTATTCCCTCCTCCCTTTTTATCTCTGTGATCTTTTTGGACAGAAATCTGAAACATTAGTCAATGTTCTACAAGAATTTAAATCTCCATGGCATTATATTCTCTAATATGGTATTTGTTATGAACAAAGTAATTATCATGTAAGCTCTTGGCCACAAAAAATGAACTATATTATAAATACACTTATCATAACACCATGTCTTCAAAAACACTGGCAGAAAGCTAGATATTCATTGCACACATTATGAGGAACACATCCCTAACTCAAAGTGATCTCACTAAGCCAGAGATTGGCCATAATAACATTTTATCAGGTTGGACTTTTTTGGAACTGCTTTGTGCAATAGAAAGGTTTGTTGTGCCAATTAGTTCCCTGGTATGCCAAAAAGGCCCACAAGAATCAGGATTTTTTTTGGCACTTGTTAGAAATACTAGTACGTAAAACAAATTCCCACCTGCTTTGAGAGTATTTTATGATACAAGGAATAAGTTGAGGTGGTTTTCAGGCTATTACAACCTTTGTCTTCTTGACAAATGAGGAACAAAGAACATGATGGCACTGTCAACATTTCCTAGAGTACTGCAAACTGTTTTGAGCCCTATCACAGGCTTTCTTATTCTCTGATATTTATCTAAGTAAATGAGTTTTTTTAAGAGAAGAAACAATCACCTTATAAGGGAAGTCTAAAAGATTCTTTCTGTGTCTTAAGCTCTTGAAATATAACCAAACATCCAAAGTAGTTAGCTGTTCATAAACAAAAGGAGGCACAATTTCTGTTTTCAATATGTAGAGAGTCTCTGAGAATACTCAAGAATTCCTTTGTCCCATAGCTATTTTCTCTACAGTTGACATCCTTTCCTACTATTGCTTCCCTCACAATCGTGGCTTGGTACTAGGAACACAAACCTAGCATATCTAGGTATATGTTTCTAGCAGGCAACCATGCCCCTCTCCCTTACTTCAAAAACAGGAAAGTGATATAGACCCCCAACATTGAGCTCTTAGCCAATAAGCTTTTCCCTTCCTCCCTCCCAGGATAACAATTCCTTATCTAGTCTCCTTTCACAGGGACAAATCTTTAGCAAAATCTGGGGCTCCTGAACCATGTGGCCCCGTCAGAGGGCACCTTAGACATTGCTGGGCCATTAGTGGGAAAGTAAGACAGAGGTAAGGAGAGGATGACAAAAGCAGACCAACCTGTCACAGCTTTGTCTCTGCCTCCCTTCCTTGATAATTATGGGTGCAGAACTAATAAGCAAAGCCTCTGGTTGGACTATACAACTCTCAGGGGCACCAAAGGGCTTTTAAGGTTCTTCAGTTCAGATTCCCTCTTGGAATGGCTGCCCACCTTACAGTCACTGATGAAAATATTACAGAGGAATGTCACTAGGAGAGGGGAAATTGATGCCTTCTGGTTTGGACGTCCTTCACAGGACCCCCAACCAATCTCAGGGGCTCCAGCCTCTCTGTTCCTCAGATCGTTCTGAATGATGCCTCCTTCTGAAGGTTCTAGTCTGCCAGTTTTCTCTAAGAGCAGTTCCCCAGGGTCCTCACCCTTCTCACCTGCAATAATAGTGGCGGCCAAATTTGGCCCAGTGATCTCGGACGATTTCCTCCACACTCTGCTTCCGGGCAGCCAGAATGGAAAGCCAGACCAAGACAGCCCAGAGGCCATCTTTTTCCCGAAGGTGATCAGAGCCTAAGAAAGAAAAAAAGTATTCTTGTATTCTTCTGAGGATCTGTTTTCTGGGTGAAAAGTAAAAGCTAAATGAACTGTGAAGACCAGTTAGCAATTGAATGTTGAAATGGTTGGATATATTTATCCATTGTGATAAATATATGTCCCATAATAAGCTTGCATTTCTAAAAATTTCCAACTAAAATTCAAATAACATAAAATTACATCAAAAAATAAATTCCTGGAGGTTGTTGAAAGTACCAAAGAGCCAAGCTGACATCACATTTGCCCAGTGGTATCATTCATTCAGTCAGTATTTGGGGATCCTTAAAATATTCCAAGTGTTGGTCTAGGTGCTAGGAATACAGCAGTGAACAAGACAGCTCTTTATTTGTAAAGCTTGAATGCAAGTAGGTAGGGATAGGCAACAGAAAAGTACACAAGAGGAAAAGATGCATTAAATAATAACAAAGGCTGTGAAAAAAAATAAACTAGGTGATAGTGTCACAGAGTATGACAGCAGCAAATACTATTACCTAGAGTAGTGTAGTTTATCTACAGCAGGGCTGGTGGTGGCTTTCCCAAAAGACATGTTCACCCACAACCTGTGAATGTGACCTTATTTGAAGAAACAGTCTTGTAGATATAATTAAGGATCTTGAGATGACATCATCCTGGATTATCAAGGTGGACCTTAAATCCAATGACAAGTGTTCACCAAAGGATAAGAGAAGACACAGAGAAGAGAAATACAAAGGACTGGCTTATGTAAAGACAGAGATGAAGATTGGAATTATGCTGCCACTAGCCAGGGAACGTATGCAGCCACCAGAAGTTGAAAGAGGCAAGTAGGTCTTCTCCCCTAGAGTTTTTAGAGGAAGAATGACCCCACCAACACCTTAATTTTGGATTTCTAGCCTCTAAAACTATGGGAGAATAAATTTCTGTTGTTTTAAGCCACCCAGTTTATGGTAATTTGCTATGGTAGCCTTAGGAAATGAATACAGGTAGTCGTGGTCAGCTCCACTGTGATGATGCCATCTGAGCTGACAAGTGAGAGTCAGCCATGCTGAGATGTGGGGACAAAGCATTCCAAGCTAAGGAACAGCAACTGCAAAGTCCCTGATGCAGGTAAAATTGGGAAACTTAATCCTACAGCTACTCTATAGAAAGAGAGGCAGTTCATATTGTGACATTCAAACGAATGATGAGTGCCAGCTGGACAGGTAGGTTTCTGTGCAAAAAGAACCAGAAGAAAGTATGAGAGGCCCACTTAAGCACCTGTCTGTTGGCCAACTCTAAGCTCTCTTAGAAGTGAAGAAGGCCCTGAATACAAGGCACTTGCAGCAGTGTGGGGAATATGGTGCAATGGGAAAGCATGGGAAGGCTTTGGAATGAGGGTTTGAAACCAAGCTCTGCTACTTCCCACCTGTGTGAGAAGTTGTTGCAAAGTTATTAACCTTTCTGAGCCTCGACTTCTCATCTGTAAAATGAGGATATGATCAACAATCTTGTGGAGTTATCCTACCAATTTAACCCAGTTCAGAGGGCAGGCTCGTGAGTCAGTTTGCTTATGTTCAAGTTCTAGCTCAACTAGAACTTTTGTGTGACTTTTGCCATTCTCATCAGCAACACAGAGATGATGATGGCTCCTACCCCACAAAGTTACTGTCTGGATGAAGAGATAAAACATTATTATGTATTTAGAACACTGACTGGGTTGTCACAAGTGGTTGTTGTTGCTGTTAATCTTATCTTTGGTAATTCACACAATAGGCCAACATGGTGCTGATTCCTTAATGCACACTGTAAAGCAGATTCTCGGTTATTCATATAATTTTATCCTGTGACACTAGCAATGACCATTAACATGAGAAAGGGGACTGGGACCAGGGGGTGGACCATCTCTTCTTGCAATAGAGCAATGAGAATGGACAAGAGCACTCTTCAGCTTCAGGGCTATGAAACACATATAGAAAATCAAAACGAGAGATGTGATGTCACAAAGCTGTTTAAACCTTGGAAATGGGATGAAATAATACATTCGTTAAGTTAAACATTTTTGACAACCACTCAGTGAAGCTATGAATCACTTACTCCTCTTGTAACATTGACAGTATTCAATGTTAAATGCTTTTCCTTGAAAACGAAAACACATACAACCTTGACAGGGCAGTGAAGATATTTAAAAGGAAAAATGATCAGTTTTTGGTTCTTCCTATATGCTGATCAATGATCTGCTGACGACACTTTTAGATGTCTGGTTGCAGCTGCCTCTAGGTTGAGAGGACCCTAGGCATTAATCATCACACCATGGGGTGACTCTCATCTTATCCAGCGAACTTTTCACACTGCTACAAAAATGGAAGAAGTTTGGAAGATGCTAGGTTGGCTCCATGGCTAAGTGCCAAAAAAACAAGTCTAGGAAACCCTGCCCAGTGGGATAATTTCAAAACCTTTTGTCCTTTTATAGCTAAAAAATCACTTTTATTTACTGGCTAGAGAAAAATACTCTTTTGTTTCAAAACATGGGCTTCACATACCTTGCATTTCCAGCTGGATTACATTACCTGGAGATAGAACCATTAGGTTCTATTAACTCTGTGAGATAAGATGTCATAATTCAGTGGTAGAAGAGACATAAAGTTCTTTTAGCAGGATTTAAAAAAATCTCAACCATTTGTAGCCAACTTCGTAGTAGATTTGTGAGTTGGCTTGGATATACTTGCCTACAAGTTAAACATTTGCCAAAATTCATAAGGACCAATGGTCTAATAAAATGAATTGTGAAAAAGAAAAGAAAAATAAATAAAATGAATTGTGCTCTTCACAGCTCTTGGAGGTAGGGATAGAGACACTGAGGATATAGCATTTAGATACATTTCCATCAGATGCTCATAGTATGTTGTAGAGAGAGTTTGGAGGATACAACCTTCCTTTCAATAATTCTTTAAAGCAAATGAACTATAATGCTATATCAGTGACAGGTAAATTAAATAAGAAATGCAGAAAACACAAAGATGTCAAATGAATAAACCTCACCATAAACAGAGTAAAAACAGAGGGGAGAGATGTTCACATTATATATTACAGGCTAATATATTTCATATTTACAAATATTTTATGAGCCAATAAGAAAAAGAGACACCCCCATAGAAAATCATGGAAGGGCACAAATGGATAATTTTCAAGAGAAAAATATTAATATTTAAAAACATGAACAAATCTTCAGTCTCACTGTGGTCAAAATTCATAAAATGGGGTAATATTTGGAGTCTGCCAAATTAGCAAAGATCAGTTAGGAGAAGGGAAATACCTAGTACCAGTAAAGTATTAGTATAATTGTGTAGAATTTGATAACATAATTTGGAAGTAATAATCAATAGTCTTTAAAATGCCACTCAGCTTTGGACCGAGCTCTTCTATTTTTTTTAACCTTTTAGCCATAAAGACTGAAGTAGCTAAGGGAAGAGAGGAAAATTGGAAAAATAAAGGCTAATCGTTAAACATCAGGATAATTGTGGAAAATCCATCCAAAATCTTGTTTAGATGCTCATCCAATTTTCACAAATGGAATAAATCAGTTTTCCAAGGAGGAATTTTCAGTATGTTTTTGTAGCAAAATATATGTAGGTATGTCTATCTGTATGTGCACAGGTGAACAAGAGGAGGACCACGTAACCACTACCAATAGTTATCTCTGAAATGATAGAATCACAGGAGTTTTCTTCTTCTTCTGATCTATTTCCAGAAGACACATGTATTTTTTCATTATAAGACAAAAAGTTGGAGATCCTTGGGTGGCTCAGTGGTTTAGTACCTGCCTTCGGCCCCAGAGCGTGATCCTGGAGACCTGGGATTGAGTCCTGCGTCGGGCTCCCTACATGGAGCCTGCTTCTTCTCTCTGCCTGTGTCTCTGCCTCTCTCTCTCTCTCTTCTCTCTCTCTCTCTCTCTCTGTCTCTCATGAATAAATAAATAAAATCTTTTAAAAAAAGACAAAAAGTTTTCAGTGGTGGGTAGAAGTTCCCATTTGAGGCCATTCAATTCCATTTATCAAAGAGCTAGTTGGAATATTAAAGGGATCGCTACCACTAATGAACAGGTGATGAACTTTGAACCTATCAATCATCCCATTTCTTCCACTGAGTAATAGCTTTTTAGAGCATAGAGACTGAATATGACCCCCGTCCTTGTGGGTCTCACAGGACTTGCGATTAGGATCAGGAATGTCCTGTAAGGTTTTAGTAACTAACAAAAGGTGAGAAAAGGAAGAAGATGTGCAGCTGAACTGTCAACTTTGGCCTTGGGGGAAGCTTATTTTGTAGCCTACCTTTAGCTTCACAGCAAAATGGAATGAAAAGTATGGGGAGTCCCTGATACTCCGTGTCGTCACACAAATACAACTTTCCCCACCATCAACATTCCCCACTGGAGTGGGACATTTGTTATAACTGCTGAACCTACCCTGACGCATGATTAATTCCTGAAGTCCATAGTTTATGCTAGGGTTCGCAATGGTGTACATGCAATGATTTTGACAAACATGACAAACTACTCTACTTTTTGCCATCTTCATAGTTATGCCTTTTCCAGATTATTATATAGTTGGACTCACACAGTATGGAGCCTTTGCAGTCTGGCATCTTTCACTTAGTAATACGCATTCGAGTTTCTTACATGAATTTTCATGGCTTGATAGCTTATTTATTTTTAGCACTGAGTAATACCAGTACAATTTTTGAAGCTTGTTCCTCTGGAAACCTGGCCACCTGATTGAGGACCTTGCCAGGAGCTTTTAGCCATATTCCCAAAGCCCAGAGGTACCACTCTCCTTGCCTTCCTCCATCCAGGCCAGCCCAGCCCAAAGATCGGAGAAGTTGCCATCCCCACCCAGATACTAGAAAGAGGCCTCAGGTCTATTTTTTTCTCATCAGAAATATCCCTATCCTCTCCTCCACTCCACTCAAATTCAACTTTGAATTTTCTCATTTTAAAACCATACTACTGGGATCCCTGGGTG